TTGTACTGACTTCTAGAGAAATGAGCAGGAGTGAGTGTATAAGTGCGTGCCTAATTTGTTGGGATGAGGAAGGCATTGCTTACAAGTCTAGTGGGGCTCTTAAAAGCATCTTATTCTGGTTTCTCTTAAAAAAATAAAATTGCCTATCTTCAGCATGTGGAAAAGGCAGGAAATCACAGAACAAAAAGCAATAATTCATTCTGCTACACCAAAATCTTCTGTTTCTTTCCATTAATGTTATTTATTTGCCAGAAGTAACATGTTCAGCCAAAGAAAATCCCCAAACACACTCTGGTGTGTGATACCTAAAATCCCACATACAAAATAAATGTTACACACATAGGAAAGTCAGACGTGAAAGGACTGATTGCTGACCCCAAATCCTCCATCTTTCTTGAGGGCACCATATATAAACTTCAGTTTTTAAAGAAAAGCTCAGAACCTGCTGCCATCTTCACTCCATAAGTTGTTCATCAGTGAAAGCCTTTCAAAGCTAATCCACTATTCAACCTAAAGTGTGAGCTGCAGAACCTGAATTAGAGACAGCTCTGTCTCCTGACATTTCCACATTGTGAATGGCACAGGACCATAAAACAGCCCTTGGAGTTAGTGCTGTATGTGTGCTCCCATAACTAAATTACAGTTGTGGAGATAGCCTGGGACATCCTGCCTGTCAAAACCAAATGAAAGAAAACAGAAAGGCAAGTGGGAGGAGGCAAAAGCTAGTGAAGTAGATTGTGATTGCAATCTAGCTACATGGATGCTGGATAATTTTAATTGTAGAGGTACGGTTCATACTTTGCAATCAGATTTCTGCCTTGGTGAACTCATTTTTCAGAACTGGCATTGCTGTGCATCACAGGCCAAGAGTTCATGCCACGGCTTTGAGCAGAGACCATCTAATTTGCAGAACATTTCAGCAATTCAATTACAATGTAAGAGCATTACATTGTAAAATTACTTCTCTATCAGTTGAACATCAGGCTATTAAAAGTAGTACAAAAGACAGAAGTTAAAGAACAGCCTTTTCAACTACTCTTCTGTTTTTGGAGATGCATTTCTTTATTATCCTAAAATACTACAAGCAGCAATAATTCATCTGTTCTCCAGTCTAACCATTACATTAAAAAAATAAAAATGTAATTAATATCCTCTTTAATGATCCCTTCTAGAAAGATAATCACTGCAATAACTATGTATCACATAAGGGCAGATATTTTTAATAACTTCAAAGAATACGCTAAGGATCTCTCTACATTGTTACCTTCAGACTTAATACTTATTCTGGTACGAACTGAGGGATTCATGGAGAATAACTGCTGCCAATGGGAAATTATGCCTTCCCTGGACACGTGTCTCAGGTGTCTGCAGTGTATTTCACAACAGTAGAGAGAGTCACAGCTTTCCAGGATGCTGATAAGAGTAAATCAAGGTGACACAACCTGGAATGTGAGGAGAGGAGACAGTGATTATAACTGATTGAAACTTGGTGTTTGGCTTCTATTTTGGTTTAAAAAACATATTCCAAACTAAACCAAAAGAAATGCAATTTTTTTTTTCTTTAAATCATGATGTTACTGCAGAAACCCCCAGTGCTGCATGGAAAACATGGAAATTCTGAGAATCTAGCAGCTTAGTAGATACTTATTTAGCAAGAGAAGTGCTATGATGCATGAAGATACTAAGAAAACAACATTTTTTTTACACATTCTATAATTTTCCAATCAAAATTTCATTTCCCATGTGAACATTACTTTATCACAGATTTCCTGATCAGTTCCAACTCTTCCTTCCAGGGAGCTCAACTCCTCTCTGCATAGTCTCCTGGTCAGTACCACACGAGACTGGATGAGCAGTATCTGTAGCTTCTGTATTGTTCCACAAACCCACCCCAGGGTGCAAGAGGTACCTGCGCTGCAGCTATGGCAGCCTTGTCTGAATGAAAGACAAAGCTTCCTGAGGGCAGGATTAGGAGTACTCTGTTCTCAACACATCTTCAGAAATGCTTTTCTGAAGTAGATGGGCTAAGAAAAGACTTAAAGACACACTGGCAAACTTAACAAGCAGCTTTTGTAACATTTTCCTGAGTAAGAAATATGTTCTAGAAGGACTTACAAAAACAATTTACAAATTTAAAAGACCAAATCTTTCCTTAAGCATCAAAAAATCTACTTACTGCCTTGCTCCACATCTATTAGTTCTTTTACTCACTTTTTCTAGGACATCTAGACACCTTCACAGTACCTTAACATTCAGCGATATTGAATATACCGAGAAATTAGAGGTGATTCTCCTTGTTCTTTCAAACAGTTCTTTCCCATTTCCTCCTCCTCATTGCAGATGCCCCTACCAATGATCTCTTCCCATTTGCTTGAGCTATGGGAGCTCAGAATAGTTCAAACACATTTGCACATCTTCCCTTGGTCTTCTCTTTCTAGTAGATCCACCCAGTTTGTAAAATCATGACTTTGTAATTAATAAATGTGACATGGAAACAGTTGTTAGAGAAAGCTCAGAGACATTCCCTTAGGAGCTGGTTGTTGCTGCCAGAAACTCACTACTCTCCCAGTGAAAAACCCATACAAACCCTGCTCTTCTAGTGTGCAGTTTTTATAAACACATCAAGTGCTCATCACACTGACTCTGAATTATCAGTCAAAGTGCCCACAGGTCCTAAAAGCAGCCAGGTCTGCAGCTGAGTGACACAAACTGAGGAACACGATTTCACAAGAAAGCACAAACAGAAGAAGGAAGAAGTTCACTAATTTCATTTTCCATTTCAGACACAAACAGGATCTTTCCGATTTTAAATGAGACTCCTTTGTCATTAAAAGATGTCTAGCTAGAGACACAAAAAAGCAAACTGTGTCCAGCCACAATGCATTTATTATTTATCCTACCCTATTTATATCTCATGCCGAGGGATGTACACGATAGACTGAATCCACATTTGTTCCTTGCATTCCTTCTCGCAGCTGAGAAGATGGAATGAATCACAAAAGGTTTCATTGTTGCAATGTTTTGTCATGGTATGTGTAATCAGCACAGACCCCGTTAAAGAGGCTTTGGAGGATGAGAAGTTTAAATATTTAATGTTCTTATACCTAGGATAAGTTTAATAATTAATGCTGCTCCTACCCTGGAAATGACAAATTGTACCACAAGCATGCATGATAAAAGAAACAAACACAGCTAATAGAGAGGAAAACTTTACTTAGAAGATAGTAATTAAAAGCCTCTGCAGGATACCTCAGGTTCCTGAAGTACTTCACAGGCAGAAGTAAATTCTGCCTCCCAATCCAAAGAGCAGTCCTGTCCATCTAGTAAGCTACCTAATTTTTGAGGAACAAGAGATAATTAAGTGAGATATTTAGGGGATACCTACCCTGTGTATGTGAAAAATGATGCACAGACATTGTGAGCCAAACAGTCTTAAAGACTTCTGTGCCCGCAGAAGAGACAAAAAACAATGTGAAAGCTGTTGTTCCTTGATGTGCTGCCCAGAGGAGCAAGCCATCAAGTCATTACAGAAACTTGTTACACAGCAGAGTAGGAGCAAGGCTGGATCTGTGCTTGTTTTCTCCTTTGCTTGTGTCTAACTGGAGAAGGAGCTACTGCAGCTCCAGGCAGCGTCTACAAATACCAGCTCTTGCCTCACTCTGAATAACCTGTTTGGTAAGACACTACCACCAGTACATTTCTCTGAGTACATGCTCCTCCACATCCACTCCCACTGATGATCTGCAGGTATATGGAACCTTCAACCCCCACCAACTTGTAGCTAAAAGAAAATTCAGCTCATGCAGTGCAGTGCTTCAGTGCCGGACCACGCTTATGTAAATGCAACAGAATTAATACTGAAGAAAAGCACAAAGCCTGACAGTAATAAAATCTTCTGTGATTCACTCAATTTAAACATGTTTTCAAGTTATTAATGTCAGAAGTCTGTCAGACGAATAGGGCAAGCACTTTGATATAGACATTGCCACTGTATTCTTCTCTCGAGGTAGAAACCATTTTCCCTAAGCCCAGGCCTGAGACAATCACATCGTGGGAGAAATAGGCATATCTAGAAAGTGACTCATCTTACCTTCAGAGATGCCTAAAACAGGTCAGGTGACTCATTCCCCCTACAGAAATCAAGACTCCAGTGTGTCTATTTCAGATTGAGACACGTACCACCGCATAGAGCTGTCAGTAGCACATCCACACTAGTGTGGTCAGTAGTGCCAGAGCAAGGGAACTAGAGCTCTGTCCCCTGCCCTGTCAGCTGCTGGAGCATACCCTGATGCACACCTCAGTCATCTCCTGAGCAACTCTCAAGCACAGGACCACTCTCAACAGCTTGTCTGGATGCAGCCACCCTGTTTTGGAGGCTAATGGGGTTGAATAACTCAGACATGATCAGACTGTGCCAGTTGACCTCAGGATCAGAGAAAGGTACTACCATGGATAGGTGTAGTCTTTAATCAGTGAGATCCAAGGGTTTTTTAAATGTTAATACTTAGCTACAAAACATGTATTTTTATTTTATTTACAGTCTACTCTTGTTGCTTTAATATCCTTTCTTAGAGGGGGCTTAGAGAGTTTAGTATGAGGAGATAAATTAACCGTCTGACAGTAGACAATGTACAACTGTGTTTAAAAGTCACATCTTTTCTAAGTTCAATCTTTTGCAATTAAGCTAGGTTAGGGTAAACAAGTGTTCACATGTACTCCTGGAAAATCAGGTCAGTCACATCAGCAACAATCCACAGCTTTTTAAAGTCACACTCAGAAAAACATTAAAACGTTACATTTTGAAAAGAACAGTTCCCTTAGGGTAATATCCTTCAAACTCTTATCTGAGGTTTTTGTTTCCTCTTCAATGGAAGAACACAGCATAGTAGAGTGTCTGCAGCATAACCTCAGCTGAAGGATCCAGCTGAAGCTCCCTAAACCTCCTCAGTGAAGCAATAATGTGTCCTGCCAGTGTCATAGGGTAGTGTTCACGCAGGGCTCTATACCCATTCTGACTTTTTTGACCTCAAGCAACTAGTACTGCTGTAATTTGATTCTGCATCAGGGTTTTTTAGCTCAGCTGAAGGGTAATATCTTAAAAGCTTGCTCTGAACTACAGAGGAAGAAACTCCAAGGTGAGGAGTCAGGGCCGTATCTTTAATGAAGTCTTGCTGAAGCCTGGGTCTCACTTGCCTGCATGTAGTTCCTTGGTGGTCACCTGCACACAAGGGTTCTTCAGTGCTATCTTGCTTAGTAGCAAGATCTGATATGCAGGGCTTATTGCTGTTGCTGTTCAGGTTAGTGCTGGCAGTTTGCTGAGAGACCACTTCAGGATGAAGAACAGCCTCTTCTTCCTCTTCAGAGAGGAGTGAGCAGGAGCCATCACTGCTATTTGATACTGGACAGTCCTTATTTTGAGGTTGAGATGAGCCACTTTGCTGGACAGGGGAGAGATTTAAAATGCACTCGTTGTCTACATCGAGGTTTGTCAGCAGCTTGTTCTTTTGGTTTCTTGCCATCATTCTCCGGAGAGCACAGACGAGATCAGCGAGGCTAAGCAGAAAGGACAGACTGCTGATCCCCCAGATGAAAATCATCATGATGGATTTCTCAGTGGGCCGGGAGATGTAGCAGTCAACTGTGCTTGTGCAAGGCGAATGGTAGCAGGAAAAGCGATCAGGAACAAAAAATCCAAAAAGAAAATACTGCCCAGCTGCAAAGGCAGCCTCAAGTAGTGTCCTAAAAAAAAGATGAACAGTATATGCCCCAGAAAAGTTAAGGACACTTAGATTGTCTGCACCACAATCTAATCTATCAACAGCACTTCTGCAGAGCTCCTTCAGGTTTTTGGGCCTTGATAAACCCTCACTCCCTTTGCATCCATGCACCAAACAGTGCATTCTTACAACATACATAGCTACCTTGTGCAAAACATAAATGCTGAATGCAGCGTAAGGCAGCAGGATAGACACAGTCTGGATGAGCCAGAATCTGAAGTGAGATACAGGAGAGAACAAGTCATAGCAAACATTGGAGCATCCTGGCTGCAGGGTGTTGCAGACAAAGCGTTCCTGCTCATCTTGGTAAAGCGGGTACCCTGCTAACACTACCACTGCCATGCGCAGCAGAACTATGACCATCAGCCAGACCTTTCCTAGGAGAGAAGAAAAGGCAAGAAAAAGAATCAGAGCATTGAGAAGAAAGGGAAAACAGGTGATGCAGTGATGCTCTCTCTATACACAAGACATTTGAAGAAACAGCCTTTGTAATCTGTCTCCTTCCCTAAAAGCTCCTCTTTGGCTTTTTTTTTATGGGACTGAAACTAGTGTGAGCTGACACATTCCATAATGTTAATCTGGACTCAACAGTGTAGGAGTTTGATGTACAATAAGCCATGCCAACTGAAACCTCAGCCTAACAAAAACACTCTGAACATGACTAAATCTGATAAAAGGAGCTCACAGTTAAGTGAATAATCCCATTTCTCTTACAATTCTTCCTTGCTGTTGGTTTCATAACTCTGGATTTTGTCCTATTTCAATAATATAGATCAACTAACACAGTATGAAACTCTTCTAGATACAAAAAAATTGTTCCATGAGATAGTATTTGTTCTTCATCTTGGCCATGAAATTATACGTAAAGTTTACCATCGCCAACAAAATCTCTTTGTTGTGTCTAGACCAATGACCGTATCTTCTGAATAAGACTCTAGTTTCTTTGAGGACCTTTGGATGGGGTATGTTTTTCTTAAAAGTTTTTTGTAAAGTTACACACACTGCTGTATTACTGACAAAGTTATTTATTAAAAAAAAAGAAAAGAAAAAGGAAAAAAAAAAGAAAAAAGAAAAAAATAAATAATTTTCCTGAGCAGGGTAGGAAGGTCTAAAAATATACTGTTACACTGTAAAAAATAAAAATACATTCTGCACAAACTCAACATCTGATGTTAATTTTAGCACTTGAATTTCTCAAGTTTTCTTTCAAATCCTGTCACTAGTTCCCTATATGGTTTTGAAAGAGTGATTTAATTTAATAATCCCCTGCTTTAATTTTGCATATGTTTAAAACATGCCAAGAAAAGATTAAAAAAAACTCACTTAGGAACAACAACAATAAAAAAAACACCAAACAACAGAAAAGAGAGATAAGGTTAATTCTGTGCTTTAAGGAATGGTTAAGAAACCAGTTGTAACCACAGACAGCCAAACAGCAAGACTCAGTGACTAGAGAGACGCACATTACATGGAGTTAACAGTTGAGAAATGCACTGAAAACCCCAGGTCAGAGACTGCACATCTCATATGCACACAAGGTTTTAAAGGCAGTCTGTGAAATAGCATCAATACACATTCTAAAGGCTTTATAAAAAATCCAGATCCCAAAGCATTTTTTCTATAAAATATATGATTATTTGCAGGTACTGTTTTGAATGACATTCTTTTCTATTTCTCCACAAAGCTATTTCCCTGTAGCTGGTGTAAAACTTAAATACGCAAATATTTCTGCAACATTGTATGACACCTATGTACTGAGCATGCAGTTCAGACACTCCATATAAACCATTTGCAGCTGGTAGCCTGATTATGGGGTAGAGCAGTAAAACTGCACTCTGAAGTGGAAAAACTTCAGCTGGAGAAAAGGATAAGGTTATATTAGCTATATGAGAAAGCATCAGAGAAACCTGCTGCTCCTAGCCAAATAATATGCTATCTAATAAGAAATAAATTAAGGCCTTTCAATTTTATCTTTAATCACCTGAATTTTAGTGGGGTTTTGCTGTGTTTTCAGCTTCCTGCATTCCAGCAGGCTCTGCTGTCACTCTTTTCTAGACATAGTACATGTCAGTACAAAACACCAGCTGTATAGAATCATCTTTAGCAAGTAATGTTTCATAATTAGGTAGCATTTTTCCCTGTGAGGACCTCAAAGTGTTTGAAGCACATCAGTTAATTAAGCTCAAAATACTACATACTACTTCGCTATCAATTTTTAATTAGAACACATACGATAGGGAGTGCTGCTTAAGAAAAATCAATGCCTCTTTAGGAAGTAGCTTGGTACAACACACATTTTAGAGATAACCCCTCCACACATCGCCTTCCCTAATGGCTCAATCTTGATTAAACGTTGTAGACCAAACCCTCACCACCCAGTCTACCAGTTCGCTGGAAGCTCTGGGATGCACAGCACGACCTCCAGCAGCGGCCCAGGGGCTTCAAAGGCCCTTGAAAGTTTGTCTCTGACTCGCACTTTGCTCAAAGTAGCCCCTGAAAAAGGAGCAGTTTCTTCTTTAAATAAGAAGGAAAAAAAAGAATCACTCAAGCCACTGTTAGCTGAGCAAAACCAAACTGTTTTGGTGGTTTTTTTAAATGCATGTGAACTTTGTTCATTGATAAAAATAAAGCATGAAAAGCAATCGTAATTAACCACAATGGTAATAAACCACAAACTGCTTCCTGTAAAAGAGAGAGGTGTTATTTTTCCCTCCGTTAAGTTTTGTAATTCATCATTAAAGCTATTGCATACATTCTACTCCTCACTGCATGCAGTATAAACAAAGCATCACTTCTGTGTGCTTTCACCATGATCCCTATAACAGCCTTTAGAGCTGACTGCAAGTTCAAGCACCAAGAAGAGCCAAATTTTAAAACCTTTGCAGTTATTTCATAAAGTTCAGAAAGTATCTATCAGAGAAGGAGTAGGACTCTATTTACCAAGAAAAGAAAGACATTAACCACTTTTATAACATATGTAAATAGCAGCTTCTTATTGTAAGGATCATAAAGAGCTTTTTAAAAGTACTTACCTACAATAGTCACATTGTAGTTGAGTGTGACAACCAAAAATCCCAGTGAGTCCCAGCGCTCCATGTTTGGACAGGCTCACAACACTTCCAGCTCCTGATGTCCTAATGCTTTGGGCATTTCCAAAGGAGATTAGACCTAGATAGGGAAGTAAGAAGAAAAAAGAAAAAAAAAATAATTTTTGTGAATTTTTTGTAAGGGTCAAGGATGGAAATGAAAAACCCAGCCATACCAACATATTGATGAAGGATGATTTTGATGATTTGAACAGGACTTTTAGTTTTGGATGTTGGAACAAATCTTCTTAAAGCTTTAACAGTTTGTCTTGCAAAAGCTCTATCTTCTCCAGTCCTATTGCTCTTACCTCTTGCATGGCTCCTCTTCCCATGCAACTGCAAGCAGGCAAACAACAGGAGTGATCTCGGCCATTGTAGACTATTCTTACCCTCCGGGGCATGCCAGCCTCCTGGCATTGCTGAGATATTTCAGTGATGAACGACAGGGAGAGGGGAGAGAGGGAAGAAAGACATAGACCAGGGAAAACCAGAGACCTCTCTGTCTCCCCAGAAGAATTGCAGATAGATAATAGAAGGAAAGGGGATACAGAAGGACGAGCATCACTGTGTTTGAAAGGCACTTCCAGTGTAGCTCACTGGAAGCTATCCCATTGCAATTTCCCAAAGCAATTTTATTTCTGAAACACAGCCTCCCTGACAGGACATCATGGCCTTGTCAATCACAGCCACACCAAATTTTCTCCTGTGTGCTGAGCCAGCCAGAGGGCTAAGCCTTCCTGCAGGCATGATGAAAAACAGGGGAAGCATGAGAAGAGACAACATAGAGTAAAATCAGATATAACATAAAATGAAATTAAAAAAAAAATAAGCTGCTTTTCAAGATGCCACAAGTCATATACTCTTAATTTACCTCAGTTCTTTCTGCCTAAACTGCTTGGTACTCTGCACATCACTCAAATACAGCAACCTGGAAACCTTTCAAGCCTGTGCAGCAATGGGTGGAGGAGTTGTCTCTCCACACACAGGACGCCCCACAGGGGTGTTTAACTGCTTGGGACAATTGCACAGTGTGCCCTTGATACTGTATGACTGTGTTGAGCCCCACAAAAAAAGCACAGATGGAAATAAGACTCTCATCTTTCCTTTCCTCACCCCCACTGTACCTGATTCCCTTGGGGAAAATAATCTGCTACCATTTTCCACCTACTGCTGAACTACTTATGGGATATTATGTGTTATTCTGTCCTTTCTAGTCTGTGCTGTAGTAGGGACAAACATAATATGGACACTTATTTACAGGAAATCTTACCAATCACTAGAAAAACCAGCAGAAAAAAAGAGTCTGCAAGTGATACAGCTCTCTCCAGCTCTCTGCTCACAGGACGTGCGATGCCTTGGCAGAACACACTGAGCATCCTTTCTGTAGTGAGCCTCATCCTAAGGAAACCCTAAAAGTGTAGTTTGAAAGGATGGCACTTAAAAACTCTTTATCCATTAACTATGTAAAGAGATTTCTAATTGCAGTAGTAAATACAGCAGTTTTCTCAATTTCGGAACTGTTTTATATAAAATATTTGCCCAACAACCATTTCTTCCACTATTGAGTTGTATTTATAGTGTGTGGTGATGGTTCTAGCTTCATTTCCCACACACACAATTTTTTTTTTCAGAGATATGTGTGTGTGAGGAGAAACATGGGAAGGTGGAAAAGCTGGAGGAAGAGAGTAGAGAGAAGATGCAAATGGCTAAGATATAAATTACACTGAGATATGAAGGTATTCCTGGTTAAACATCCTTTGTCAAAAATAGAGTGAGGAATGCCAAGATGGTGGCATGGTATGAATGCTCAGCAGCTGCATTCACACAATAGACTATAAATTGTTTCTGTCAATATTGCCAGTTAAAATATCCTTGCACGTTTCTGCCGAGACCTCTAACATTTGTGAAAGAAGGATCACAGCTAGAGATTTAAGCCTCCAAACTGTTGCCTGCAGGACTACACCAGGCGACATCATCTGATACCCCAGAATGTATGTGCTGAGGTAGGATGGCCCCTTTTCTTCCAAAAGAAAGCAAGAAGCATCACTCTCCAGACTCACTGTGCAGCCTAACTTAGGGCTGGATTTACATCAGAAAGCCTAAATTCTATTTTAGCTCTTCCAGACAACTTTAGCTTTTTTATTCTAGCTTTTCCAGACAGCTCAGATCCTACTTCAGTCCAGCACTTCTCCTTTTTGTGGTGTGTCTTGTTCCCAAGTTCAGACTGTGAAGAGATCCAGTCTGCCTAGTGATCCCAGGCACCTGAGAGCAAACTGTGAGTCATTGCACCTAGAGACCTCTTTGGCTGTGATCTGGAGCAGTTTGGTAAAGGAAACACAAGGAACATAAACATAGGCAACATCAGGGCACTGCAGAGACAAAAACTGCCTTTGAAGCACCAGCGTGTCTGTAGGAGGACAAAAAACCAGGCCATGGGCCTGCTCTGCTCTACAGGTCCTTGTCATCAGTCCAGCTTTGGGCTACAGGCTGAGGTGGTCGTTATGCAGTGTTTGGTCTGTGCAAAAACATAGACTGCAGTTTCTTCATCCCTTCATCTGTTAGGTGAGGGTTCCCATCTGAAGATAGTCCATGTTTTATCTGAAGATACTCAGCATACACTTGCCTTTGTTTGTCTTTAGCTGTTCCTTGTATTTCCTGTTCATCTGTAAAGCCTGTAAGTAAAAAGGGAGAGCAAAATTACAGGCACGGATATAGGAGCAGAAGGACTCCAGCTCTGCAGTGGCATGGCACCATCTTCCACACCACAGGACGGGCGTGTGATGCACAGCCCCATCCCTCCATACATGCTCCAGTACGAGAACCTCACAGAAACCATTCCCAGGCTGTAATAAAGTTCAGTTACCAAATCTGTGAACTTGCACTGAATTCTAGTTAAATAACAAAGACGGGTACAAAACACAGACATGGTTTTGGCTAAAGCTAATCTTTGAAATCCAGAGGTACCTCATCGTGTCTGGTTTTAGAAGGGGTCCTAAAAGCCACTGGAAAGCTGTCAGAGACCAACTATGAAACTTAAGATGATGCAGTTAAATCTATTTTAAAATTCACAACTGCTGTCCACATTTCTAACCCCTTACCACAGATCAAGAGCTTGATACTGCAAAAATTCACAGATGTGACTCCATCGCTGTGAGTGACCCACTGAAACCTTCTGAGCTACTGGAGCTGCATGTCACCGTGGACTTGTGCCACGTCCCTAGGCTAAGATTTGGGTTACTTGGACAAAGACCAGCAAAGAGACTTCACCCAGACCTTGGCTCCAAATGACATTCAGAGATAATGTGCAGTTTGCTTTAAGCCACTTCAGGGCTTCCCAGTCCAGCAAAAACTCAGTCACCTGAAGGGTGCCACAGTCTACATAACACACCAAAACCCTCTGGAAACAGGAGGCATTTCTCTGACATAGCAAGTCCCAACCACATCTGCCTTACCCAGTCAACACCCACACTAATGACATGTGAGTGCAGCAAAGTGGGAGTTACCACAGGAGACTGCACCCTACACAGCACCTGACAATAAAGCAACCTCCCTCTACCAGTTTAATTAATGTTAAGGCAAAAACGGGTCACCATGGCAGCTTCCCTGATTCAGAAGGGGACCTAGTATTTCAGCTCAGGTTCTTTGGCAGACTGTTATTTAAGAAAGAAAAAACATAGATGCATATCTAATACTATAAAGTCTAATTTCAAAATCTATTCAGAAATTTTCTAGTTAGCAGAAGTTATGTATTAGTGACCAATCTGGCAGTAAACGTAGCTCTTCAGATCTGTAAATTCAGGGGAAAAAATATTTTCAGAAGGGACAGTAAACATTAAAATTAAGGCAATTCATCTTGATGGCTTTATTTTTTAAAATTGGTAAAGTACAGCAAAAGGCCAGGAAAAGGAATACAAGCCAGCCATGAAGAACAATAGCAAGCAGCAGGAAAAGCTGTCCAGAACAAAAGTTCTTTTTTAGACAGACATAGTGCATGTGCTCACACATAAACCTGTCGGACAATCTTCAAAGTAATCCCACAACATGTGTAAAAGCCTGCTGCAGCACACACATGGCAAAGAAGTCAACAGGGCGTGGAAAGCCCTTGCTTCACACAGGCACACACAGCGCTGCACACTTTGCATTCTGTCTGTCTGCCACTCGGATAATCACTGCAGGAGGAATACGCTCCAAAGTAGCCTCCCCCAGAACAGCTCTCATAGCTACACAGGCATGGAGAAAGCAAGAAAACTAACTCCAGCGTTAGGGCTATGGAGCCTGCACAGACTGGGGCAGGGGATCGGTGAATGTTTTCCATCATGGAGTATTCAATGGTGAGCTTAAACAATGCGCTCCTGCTCCTTACCACTCAGCTTCAAACCCTTCAGTCCCCAGAAGTGGCAGAGTTCAGAGGGTCTTTTAAGAAACTCTCTAAGAACGTGTCCCTCTTCCCCTTCCCCTTCTGTCTACTTTCCACTCCCAGGAAGGAGACACATACACACATGCTCAAATGCCTATAAATGCATGTGTGTGTCTGCGTGAAACAGTCTAGAAGGACAGCCAGCACAGCAGCCTACAGCTCATTTTTAACTGCTCGTATTGGTTGGACTTGAACTTGAAAACTTCCACACTGGCTCAGTCACCTTGGGCACTTAGTCCTGGTGCCTATAGTCTCTTGCATATATCTTGTGTCTCCCTCTTCCTCTGCTCATTTAGTAAATCTAAAAAAAGACTGTGTTCTGCTGCATGATTTTAAGGATTTAGATTATTCTAACTCTTACTTTGCCTCAAACAGATCTCCTTACTGTAAATATTTGAAGGTTCAGAAATGTCATCCTTCTAAAGGGAACCTGCTTCTAAAAGGACAACAAATGGAAAAAGCAGCTCTTCGTCAGAACTGGTTCAGCAGCCTCAAAGCTATTCAACCAAGAACTTTAAACATTTCAAGACTGATCTGAAGGGAAATTGAGTAATGGAAAGTATATTCTCATTCAGGAGCTTGGGGCCAATGTC